CAGCTACATGGTCAGCGTGGCCAGCTGCATGACTGCAGACAGTTAAGACTGAGTAGTTCATATCCCAAAATGATAAGTAAACAAACTAGAGGTGGCAAAAGGCTACCTCATGATATCAGTTTCTTAAAGTGATAGCTTCAAAAAAGAAAACAAAACAAAAACCTTTTGCTAGTAGTTTGAGCTCCATGATAGGAAGTTACTGATGTAAGATTTGGGGATTAAATGTTCTGTACAACATTTATTTAAATACAAATGCAGGTCTTAAAAATTGCTCTTTTCTACCTTTTTAATATTGGACTAAACATGATAGTATAAGCTGATTTCTTTTCAAAGATATTGAAATGGAATATTTCTTTTATTGGAATCCAGTTAGGTTCATGACAGTTTTATAACAGTGTTCTACTAAATCTGAATGAAGAGGCAATATTAGTCGAAAGAAACTGGTAAAAAGATATTAACAATTATAGATTCCTCCTTAAGCATCTGTTTAAAGATAAACTCATGTTCATAGAGTCTGAGATGAATGAGACATCTGATCAGGGCTCATCTCTTTTCAGACTGCACTTAATTCATTGGGAAGACAGGGCAGATTAAAGCATATAGTTTTCTTCAGAGTGTAAACTGGATTGATGGAGGAATTGGTTAAATTTTGTGATTTTTGAAATACTTGCATGTAAAGAGTGAGTACATGCAAATCTTAGTGGATTGGTAAGAGTGCTGTAGTATTTTGATTCTTCTAACCTAGGGATGATGTTACCAGCAGTTGCTAACACTTCAGACCTGTTTCATGTAATGCTTAAAAAAATGGGTAGAACCTAAGGTTTTATAACACACTGCTTTTGATCCAGTTTGGTGTGCATATTGATTTCTTAGGAACTTAGTCTATACGGGTACTGTTAACTTTGAGATGGATGAGGTGGTACTGTTCTACAGAGATAAGGTCCGATTCTCATTCGTCCATGTGTTCATTTAAAAAAAAAAAACCTCACTGATCTTTTCTTGATTAAGCAGGAGAACACCGTATTTACCCTTTATTGTTGGTATAAACCATTATTTTACTGAGAACCATTAGCTATTTAAAACTTGGTACATAAATTAAAGAGGAGCTAAATGGATTTGTGATCGTTGCCATTAGTAGCATTTTAGATTATCCAGGCAATTATTGTGCTCATTACCCTAGAAGAGCCGCTTTGCAGAGCCGCTGTGCTTGTCTTAGGCATTATGCACAAATTTCCCCTTGGAGATTAAATTTTCCAGTAGCGTATTTAATTTTGTTATCACAAATAAAACAAATATTATGACAAGTAGAAGAAAATTTGCTTTACTAATATAAGAACTTACAGTAATGTTGAAAATTACTTCCTAGAGTATTTAATTTACCTTTTCTCATACAGTCATAATTACTTAAAGTGATTAATAGTGTATCTTAAGAATATAAAAGGGTTTACAGTCATCGCAGAAGGACTGACTTGTTCAGGTGTTTAAGAAATTCTTTAATAATGGGGAAATACACATCAGAGCTGAAGATGACACTTTTAGAATCTGTAATTTTGTACTTGCTTTTCTTTTAAGTACTTTTTGGGTCCATCTTAGCCTCTAGATGGAGAAACTTTTAAAATGTTGCATAGAAATGGAATATAAAAAGATTAATAATTGAAAATGTTTTTGCTTTTTAAAACAAGCTAGTATTGAAAATGTCTTTTCTTAATTCTGCCCTTTCTTAGAATTAACTAACGTCAAGACTGCCAGTCCAGTCCAGGAAGGGCAGGCAAGGCACCCTGAAAGAACGTGAGGAATACTGTCCTGTTATCTGGGGGAGGATGGCCTCTGACCATTCTGTGCCCGTCTTCATTACCTTCTTCTCCCTAGAAGGGAGCATTTGGTTGGCTTCAAAATTGATATCCACTGGTTGGCAGTCATCTACATCTGTCTTGGTCAATTAGAAAGGTATTAATGCCTTGAATTATCTGCATATCCTGTGCATGGGCTGCTTTTAGGCTTTCCATCCTCTGTGTGGCACTTTTTCAAAGGAAACTTTGTATTCATTTCTCAGAGGTTGTGCAAGCTTTTGGTCTTTGACTGCTATGATGCAGGGGAGAGTGTGAGAGGTAGTGGTTATGCATTTCGCAAGACAGTAATTCTTTATTTTATTACAAAAAAAAAGGCCAACTCTGGAAGGCCAGATTAAATCATTCCTTTCACTTTTTAATGGGATTTGGATGAATAGAGTAAAATATGCACTTTGCATTCATTGATAGCATCTTTAGGTTGAGGTAATTGAGTCTTTTTTCCCTGACTGAATGAATAATGACTTCATCTGATCCTCAGTGAGGCCTGAAACTTAGAGCGCCTTTGTCACAGCAGAAAGATCTGGGCTTTGAAACATGCTCTACTTCCCTGGCTTAATTTTTCTTCATTTTAATCCAAAACCCTATTTTTCTCAATAATTCAAGCATAAACTACGTAGTAGTGAAGTAGCGGAAATCGCCTGGTATTTGTCCTCCTTGTGCTGCTTTTTAAATGGAGCTGATAAATCAGCCACTGAGGTCTGAGCTGCTTGGTTCTCAAGAGGGGGAAGCAGTGCTGGGGACTTGTCAGGACTCCTGAATACCATTCCTTTCAGAGTGCTCACTCTGTAGGGAAGCAGTCCTCACTGTTGTGGTGCAAGACCTGAAGATGGGAGGGCTCCCTCATGACTCCTTGGGCCCTAAGGCAATCTGCTGCTGCTGAGAACTGGGCACATGGAAAGCTGGGAGTCTTCAGTCCCCAGAGTTTCTGTTGAAGTGAGTTGGCAGTGTGCAGAGGAGTCTCTATGCCAAGCCATGTCCTGTTTGTCACTAAAGAAGTGAGGTGACACCTATGTGAATCTGGCATGTAGTTTTTGTTTGAAATTTCCTTGATTAGGAGGCTTTTTTGATCATGATGGGGCAGGGAGCTCAAGTGAGTGCATGCCTCAGATGCACTAAGCACACCCACCAGGGCACGGAGGAGCTGCCTGCAGTCCTGGGGCACTGGTGTACTGCAGATACCAGTTCTCCTGGGTTCTGTGCAATGGCCATTTTGTTTCTGTAGTGTTTACCAACGTAGTTCAAACAGAAACCTGGACAGAGAATAACAATGTGTTTGGATATTTCTCTTTCATAAGACATATAGTACCAGCATTCATTTTGTTTTTCTTAGTAGACTCTTTCTTACAGGTAAAAAGGAATTCTCATAATTAACTCATTTTCATAACCTTAGAGTCTAGCACAAGGTGTAGGAGGCATGTAATTACTTGCTTAATTAGTTTTCTTTACAATTGTACTTAATGAACTTTTGGGAAACTTGATTTTCTTTTCTTTCTAGCAATTGCTTCTTATGGTCTCCTAAGAGTTTGTGGCAACTATTAATCAAAACTAGATTTAAACTAAATTATGAACTATGGGAAAAGATAATTTTAAGGCACTATAGAATAAATTACATTAGCTGAGCTAATTCTCAAACTTTTACATTAGAGAGCTAGAGTTTTATTTTGCTTTTTTTTCTAATTAAGATTTTGGCAATCATTTTTTCTTTCCCTCTCCAATTCTCTCTCTCTCTCTCTCTCTCTCTCTCTCTCTCTCTCTCTCTCTCTTCCTCTCACCTGGTAGCACTGTTCTTCTTGCCACCTGAGTCAGGTGCAGCCAGTTCAGTTCTGCACCCGTTACCAGGCCTCACTGGGCAGAGGCTGTGACCTTGCTCGGTATTACGTGTGTGCCCAGTAACCTCCAGCTACCTTAGTCTATGGATGGTTCCATGTCATAGAAGTGTTTGGTGCTGGGCCAGATGCAGTGGCTTATGCCTGTTTTCAATATTTGGGAGGTAAAGGAAAGAAGATTAGTGTTGAAAGTTAGCTTAGTCTGTGTAGGGAATTCAGGTCTGCCAGAGCTACAGAGCAAGGTCCTGTAAAAATAGTAAATAAAAAATGTTCTCCCGAGGCTAGTCCCCAGAGTCCCACAGGCTTTCTGAAGAGCCTGGATAGAAAGGTAAATATAAAGCCGTGAACACAGCACACCTGCCTTCTGTGGGCTACTGATAGCTCCTTATCCTACAGTGATAAAGCTGGAGGCCCTTTCAAGAGCACGCCTCCCTGCTGCATACTCTACTGCACTTTGTCTTATGGGTGACGTAGGGAGAAGCCAAAAAATTGCCAGAGCTCAAGATTGGAGTTACACATTTCAGAAGAGCCAGGTTTGTGTTCTCTTTGCTTTAGGACAAGGGCTGATTGGGTGTCAGTTGTTTCCACAATCACGGAGAAATAAACTGCTTTCTTTGATAAAATTTTCCATACATTTATGTGCTCAGCTAGTAATCAATCCAGAGTGAATTTCTGTGTAGTATATTACCCTGGAGGAATCAGACATGGGGGACTTGGATAAATCAAGCAGATTCTAATCCTAAAGTGGCCTCCAGGCTTGGCCTATTTTTGTAAGTTCTTTCAGAGACTAGCAGAAAGGCAGACACACACACACACACTGTCCAGTACCTGGGGACTCTGCAACTGAGTGGAAGGTGTTCAGTGATACTTTAATGACAGCAGGGATGCTTGTCTGGTCTGACGTGCCACAGAAGATGGACTGTTTTGCTCACAGAGGAGTTTGATGCAGGACTGGAATGGAGAAGGCTGCTCATGCCTTGCTCTTATAATTCTTGATCTTGCTGTAATGACCCACACAGCGGCTCTAACTGTGCTAGCTGAGTTGTCTCCTCTGTTATACTGTTTTACCAGCAGATTCTCCCTGAGAATGTTCTACAGGTTACAGTACATTTTCAAAATTTTAAAATTTTCTAAAATTCTACCTAAATCTCTAAGAGGCTTGTCAAGAGAAAATTAAATGTTTTTGTATTGCATTATTATAAAGACTATTAAAATCTATCATTTTCTCAAGTTATCATTTTCATGTATTCTTATAAGGATACTAGGAATGGGGGCATCTTGAACCATGTATTAATGCTATGCTTTTCTTCTTCTTCTTCTTCAGGTTGGTTTGCTGGACCTTGAACTCAATCAGCTGACAAAGGCACTATTTCTGGCCTTAGTAGTTCTTTCTGTGGTGATGGTAACCTTACAGGGATTTGCAGGTCCATGGTACCGTAATCTTTTTCGGTTCCTCCTACTCTTTTCCTACATCATTCCCATAAGGTAGGTTTAAAATTAGAAAATGTCTCTTTGATAATGTATTATTTTGCTGAAATTGTTTTTTTCTATTGTGAATGAAGTTATCCAATCAAAGCTATAGAGGAGGAAGGGGCCAGGAACCCAAGTGAATATAGCCAGTCATCTATAGAAGTGCAGTTTGAGACATGACTAGCTTTGCTAGCATACTTTAGAGAGAGTTTAATAATGTGGTCTTAATAGTTGGAAGACACCTCTTGTTCAAACATAAATCTAAGGAGAAAATCTTTACAAATTGCTTGTTGCTATTTTATGTCCAGTTCTGTAGGGTCTACATGCATTGCTGGCATTTAAAAGTTTAAAAAGCCAGGCCTAGTGGTATGGGCCTGTAATCCTTAGCTGTAGTTAGGATGCTAAGGCCTGGCTGCATTGCAAGGTCCTCTCTCAAAAAACAAGGTCCCTGCTATTTAAAGGAGGCTCTGATAGATGGTTCAAGTCAGGTAATGTGCTGACTAAGGCACTCTTTGAAAGGAACTGTTTTTCAAAATAAGCAGTATAATGAGATTGATACGTAAACAGTTAATATTAAATACCTATTTAAAGACTCATTATAGTGTGAACAGCCACAAAAAAGGAATCTTTTTCAAAGATACCCTTAGTGTGTTTGTGTTTATGTTTACTTATATAAAAGACTGAGAATTTTCATATGAATAAACCTTGTGAATCATGAATGAAGTCTGAATCTGGACTAACCATTATTTGTAATATCAGTTAAGGTGACAGTGTTACAGACAATGAGGCTCTTGTATGCCACTGCCATTAGAATACTGAATCAGTGCTCATGTGGACAGTCCTCACTTTCTGACACAGTCTCAAAGTCAGCAGCTCAGAAACTTTTGACATTGGGAAGGATAAACAAGTACTAGATTATTGTTGTTGAACAAATTCTGTCTCCAAGCCTTGCCTGATACTTAGGCCAAACTTGCCTTCTCTCACCTCTTGAAGAAGACTATTTGCATATTAATCTCCTCACACATAGCAGTGCTGGCTACTCAGTTACCCACAGTTAGTCCTTTGTCATCCAGGCGTCACCTAAGTGCACCCCTCCAGCCTGAGAAAGGTCAAAAGGTCCCACCTTGCAGCTGCAGTGCTTGCTGACCTATCAGTGACTGCATGCAGTTCTGTGTGGGTCTGTACTGGTGCCTGTCTTTTTTGTTGACACTCCTCTCCTCCAGTAAGCTCCAAAGGGATATGGACTGTGTGAACAACTGGCTTTATATCCAGTACCAGAACCAGGTAGCACAGTGTGCAAGAAGGACTCCTGTACATACCTGATTTTAGAAATTATTTACGTTCAAATCATCATAGATACCATGTATACTCACATTGAATACTGTAAGTGAACTCAAGGACAGATCCTTGTCCCCAAAGACCCATCAAGTAGTCGAGTAACCAGAGTGTAAGTGTGATGTCACGTGTCTGTTTTATTCTGCAGTTATGACAGAATTTACTCAGCTATGCATATTCTTCAGGTTTTCTTAGTTGGTACCCTTTCAACCTACAGATGCATGGATTGCATTGATCCCACCCTCTGTACCATCCACCACCTTCTTCTAGCTTCTTGACCATCTATCTCCTTCTCCTGCCTTCTCCAGCATCCACTGCCCTCTCCAGCCCAGTGTCTTTCTTTCCACTGTCTGTTTCCCCTCCATTCACAGATTTCCCCTTGCACATACCCACTGTCACTGGACACCAGTTGAAGAGGAAACATACTTGTTCAGAGTAAAAAGAATGTGTCTCCTGCTTAGGAACTCCAGCTTAGGCCAGTTGCACAGTAGTGCCCAGTTCTGAAAGGAAGAGCTACTCCTAAACCAGGCTTCCCAGGTCCCAGACAGAGGCTAAACTGTACCCACCTTAATTGAATAGAATGACAGGCTTTTTCATCTGAGCTTAATGACAATATATTTCAGGACTACTTTGTTATTGTTTGCATGTTGTGGTCAGTTATAAATATCCGTGTGTGTTTAGAAGTATTTGTTTTTTCTGGAGTAAATTGTACACGTCATTAGATGGATCTCTTGGGATTTTCAAAATCATTTCTATGCTTCCTGTTAAAGCAAATATCCCAGCCTTTTAAGTACATTTCTTACCATGATTTTAGTTTCTTTGGTCTTTTAAAATACTTGCTTACAAAATGATGATAACACCATGCTGTCTACAGTCTTTTTCGTGCTCTGGATTTTCAGTAAGCAGGTGTAGCATCTTCAACCAGGTGTGCAGAGCCTGACTAGACAGTGTTGTAACCTTACCTTTCCTCAACTTCCCATGAACAACTACCTTGTACTGCACACCTGGACCTGCAGTTGTTCCAACTTAGCAGAAGGAAGGAGAGTTAGACTGTGAAAAGCACAGGCAGATTCTTTAGAGAATTGTGGTTTATTTTTAATGAAAACAAGTTTGTTTTCCTATTGCTATGTTGCCATAAAATTAGGATAACAATTCATTTTAGAATTTAAAGGTGCTTTTGGACTTTTAAGTATGTGTTATTTTGCAAAACATGCAAATCTAGGAAGTAAAGTGCTTTTTTTTTCTTGTGTCCTAAGAATCAGAAAGCTTTCAAATTTATAGAAGTTAAGAATTTTAATAAAAGTATTAAAAATTAAATTTATTGAAATAATTTTAAGCTACTTGATAAAATTTACAATGTCTTTTTTGTTTGTTCTGTGAGGTTTTGAGATCACATTTAATTACATTTCTGTCATTCCAAGATAAATATTACATGCTATAGCTTACGTTTTATGGTTCTACAATGAACATGTATCCTTCAATCTGTGCATGTCTCCGAACAAAGAAACCAGCATGTTCTTCTTAGCACACTGTAAGCACGTGTAGAACCCAAGAGATGTCTTGGGTCAGGTTTTTGCTGTTCCTTGTGTGTTCTCCCCAGATGGTTTAAAATGCCCCGTGTTTTAATCGATAATCCAAACTGACTTCTCAGAGCTGAGTCAAAGAGACCCTGACTTCTGCATAAGGCATCCATGAGCAAGAGTGGCAAAAATGCTGTAGACAAAGAGATAATTATATCCCTTCTGAGGCACACTTGAGAACCTCTTGTACAGGCGGTATCTTTTCTGGAACACTGAACTGCAAGGGCTGCTTGCTGGTGCAAGAGACAGTTTCTCTTTCATTTTGCTTCTGTCACCAAGTCAGCACATGTGGGAGGCTTTTTAGCAAAATTTCAAGGGTGGCAGGCTGAAGATTAGATGGCACGGGTCCTGTCCAAGTCCTCACCCTGAAGGCTGAAATAGCAAAGGTGTTGGTGGCATTGGTGCAGCAGTGAGCTCGCACTGAAGCAAATTCCTCAGCAGTCTCTAGAACGTATTGTTGGTTCTGAGACGTTTTGTGTTCTTGTCCAACAACTTTTCTCCCTGAGACAGGTCTTCGTCTCCTGATGGGTTCTCACACTGGAGTAGATAACTAAGCTTTATACACTCTGATACAGTAGTGTGTTCTGTTCTATGCACATACATCTATGTTCTGAACAGTCCTCAGGCTGGGCCACTTCCTTCAGCAGCTGTGTACACACAACCACAAAGAATGCTTGTCTTAAAAGAGTTCCCTGTATTACAACTTGCTACAGCAACCTTTGAGTATTAATGCTTGTTTTTACTGTGTTGAAGTATTTCAATTTTATTTCTAATTGACAATAATTCTGTATGATGCTGTTCTTGCCACATGGTCAGATGTTTTTCTCAAGGTTAACTTTTGCTTTTCTCAAGAACATTGCACATACATTTACATATAAAAACATAATATGAATTTTTTGTTTTATCCCTTTATAAAGTTGAAATTATATTGAATAGTTTCATTTTTGCAACTTTTTGTCTTATGTTTAGCATGACTCAATAGATTCATCCATATTTTATAGCTTGCCATCCTCATTTATGAATGAATCACCAAGCATGTGTCCACAATCAATTGACAAGTTTTGGGTTGTTCCAGTGTTGCTGTACATACTCATAAACACACGTGAGCTCCTGGTATCAAGTATCTAGGAATGGAATTACTTGGCAGTGTACTTGTCTGTGGCTTTGCTGTATTTGCTTGTATTCCAATATCAATATAGAGGAGTGGATCTCAACCCTTTAACATAGTTCCTCATGTTGTGGTGACCCCCCCCCAATCATACAGCTATTTCCATTGCTACTTCATAACTTTAATTTTGCTACTGTTATAAATTGTAATGCAAGTATCTGTTTCCCAGTGGAATTAGGCGACCCTGTGGAAGGGTGGTTCAAAAATCCCTAAGGGGGCTCACCCCACAGGTTGAGAACCACTGATGAGGAGTGTCTTTTTTGTGAACTTTCTAACTCCTTTGTCTAGTCTTCTGGACAGTTCATAGTTACGTAGCTCTAACCTTTTCATTCCTGTTCTGCTGACATCTTTCTCTATAGCTTGACATTTTTGACCCATCAAAATAGTTTCTGATTTTACCTTGTTAAGTATATATGAATCTTTATATATTGTCACATCGTGTGCCTAAATCTTCCTCTGCTCAAGACCATGTTCTCCTCTCACTGTCTGCTGAGTGTGAGCCTTCTCTGTGCAACACTGAAGTGATGTTCTCTTGTGATGCTGGAACTTGAGCTCAGTGTTTCAGGTATTGGAAGTGTACATTCTAACACAACGACACACTCCTACGGCGGTGGGAGGAGACAGAGACCATGGAGTGAACACTTGCTAGACAGCTGATTCTTTTAAGTAGCATATGATAGAGTTTTTATATCCAATTTTTAAAAAAAAAATTGTCTCAGCACCCATTGTAAAACTAAACCATAACAACAACAAAACAGCTCTTTCCTAGGGACTGATATCATCTCTGTCATGTATTCACTGCCTGTGGTAGGCTCCCTTGGTCTGTCTGCTGCTGACCAAATAGCAAACTAAATAATGTGCCTTCAAATGAGACAGTGTTTAACAGACCTTTCTTCCTGTGTCTTTGAGTTTTCATTTCTTTTGGTCACGAA